TTTGCCTTGGGTTTCTGTCTGTGGATGGGAAGCCCTCTGGTGGGGCAGGGAGTGAAGCATTGGGCTGCTAACCCCAAATCTACCAGCTGCGAGAGGAGAAAGACAGAGCTTCCACAAATATTCCCAGTCTGGTAAACCCCTCTGGAGGATTCCTACTCTGCCCTCTAGGGTCGCTGTGACTTGGAATCTACTCAGAGGCTGGGGGATGCCTGAGTCTGGGTGGAGGTTGGGTTTTAGGGTTTCCCCAGATGTTGTTGTAGGACCCCCGCGGCAGGCTTATTCTCTGTCCAGTGGGAGTTTGGCACCCTTTCCCCATTCTACACAGGTAGGGGTCGTCACGGTGCCCTTCTGGAACTGAGTTCTCTTTGCCGCACATCCCCACTCCACCCTCCCCTCCCCACTGTCCTTCCCCTGCCTCTGGAGAGCTTGCTAAAATACACACTTCCTGGGGGCAGGGGCTAGGACCGCAGGACTAAGGCGTCCCAGTGGATCCCAGTGGATCTAAGTACCTCTGGGCTAAATAAAGAGGGGCCTAGCCCACTTTTGTGCCCCTTTCCCGCTCCCACCCAAGTCCCTAAGTCCTGCATACCCGGCCTCCGCTGCACGCAGCCCAGCAGCCTCAGCCCATGAGGGGCACAAACCGGCCTTTGTCCTCTCGCCCGCTCACGTGGGGCCGTGCCAGGAGGGACTCACTCGAATTCTGCTTGCAGCTGGGACAACCCCCCACCCCCACGCCCACCCCCACCAAAAGACCAAGGCCCCATTGGTCACCATGGAGAGATGGAACTGGCACGAAAGTACCACCCTCTTGCATTTTCAGAAGTAGGCTGTGATAAAGGTCGGGGCCTGGGGAGACGGCAGTTCAAGGGAGAGAATCATTCATTCATTCGTTTACTCAATAGATACCAATGGAGTCTGCCTTGTGTCAGGCCCAAGCAGGGGCACTTGTGCTGAGAGGCAGGACACCTGCCCATTTTGGGGGGAAAAGACTGGGAGGAAACATCCTCAAGCAGAGGTCCCCAGGCTTTCCCCAGCATCATCCCCCAGAGCTTTTAATTCAGTCAGGTCTGGGGTGGGGCCACAATGTGTTTCTAAGCTCCTAAGGGAGGCCGATACTACTGGTCCAAGGAGCACATTCTGAGGACCATTGGACTAGAAAATTAACAGTGGTTCAAGACCAGGTGGAGGTATTAGGCATGATTAATGTTTTTCTCTATTTTCAAACTGCCTCTGTGGTGGTGTTTTACTTTCATAAGTAGAAAAATTAGTCATTTGAAAGTTTAGAAGAAACACGTGGTTTCTAAACAATTGGGAGTTTCCTCAAAAGGTTTAACAACCAAACAAGAAGTGAAGCAGAATGAACATATCTAGAAATTCCACTGTAGGTTTATACACTCGGAATAATTGAAATTGGGATGATACACACAGACACACACACAACATGTACACCAATGTTTATTGCAGCTGTATTCACAATAGGCAAAAGTACAAACAAACTAAGTGCCCACCAATAGAAGTATCAGTAAAAGGAATAGCCTACAGACAGACAGTGGAATATTACTGTCATGAAGAGCAGTGAAGTCCCGATACATGCTAGATCACGCATGAACCTAGACAACATGCGGAGTGAACGCAGCCAGTCACAGAAGGACAGACACTCTGTGATCTCACGTGATGCAGACGGAACAATGACTATTAGTAGATACCGAGGGAGAAGAAGAACCGAAGGACTTACTGTTTGGGGGCACTGAACTTTTTGCTCAGGAGCCAGGTGGTGTAGTGGGCTTTGCATTGGACTGCTAGCTCATAAGGTCACCTGTTCGGAGTCTCCAGCCATGCTGCAGGAGGAAGAGGAGGCGTTCTGTACCCGGCCAGGTTCAGAGCCACGAAGCTCCAACGGGACGATTCTACCCAGGCCTGTTGGGTCAGTAGGAGTCTTGATCGGCTTGATGACTGAGTTTTGAGCTCCTGTTAGGGATGATGGAAAAATTTGGGAACATACAGTAGCGGCAGTTACACAGCATGATGAGCATAATTAGTGCCGCCGAATTGTACTTGTAAAAAATACTAAATTGGCGGTAGATAGATACATGAATACCCACCATCATAATAAAAAATATTTAAAAACTCTTAAAAATGACCACAGTATTCCAGTGTGATCCAATGTGGAGGGGCATCACCTCCAGTGATCTAAATGTCATTGATATGTTAATGTATCCATGCACTGGGAGCGTGGGCAGCCCCTACACTGTCCCTTGAGCTTAGGATTCACTTAGACCAGCGGTTCTCAACGTTGGGGTAGAATGACCCTTTCACAGGGGTCACCTAAGACCATCGGAAGACATATTTCCGATGGTCTTAGGAACCGAGGACACCACTCCTCTATCCGTCTCCAGGCGGGTCTACCCACATGCAGATACGCCCACATACAAGTACCCGGCGTGAAGACTGTTACCCATGCTACACGACAAAATTTCATTTATTTGTCATTAGAAATAAATATTTCACAAGATGTAATTACATATTGTTTTGTGATGAATCACTATGCTTTCATTATGTTCAACTTGTAACAATTGAAATACATCTTGCCTATCAGCTATTTACATGACAATTCATGACAGTAGCCAAACTACAGTTATGAAGGAGCAACGGAAATCATGTTATGGTGGTTGGGGGGGTCACAGCAACATGAGGAACTGTGTTAAAGGGTCGCAGCATTAGGAAGGTTGAGAACCACGGGCTTAGACCCTCACTTCCTCCCTATCACCGGGTCCCGTCAGCGTCACAGAAGAGAGTAAGTAAGGTGCTAGGAAGTGGCCTGGCTAGGATTTGAACGCAGGCCCCTCTGGAGGCTGGTGAAGCTCTGATCTGGCACCACGCTTCCTGAGTGGTGTTTCACGCATGCTTCTTCAATCTGCAGCTAAAACGAAACTCCCTCACTTCCCCATTTCTGTAGATGGTGTGAGCCTCCACTGCCCCACTTCCTCTTTTTCCCACCCCGGTTCTGTCCACTGGGCATGGTGGTGGGCTGGTGAGTCTGTGTGGATTTGGGTGGGGTTTGGGCATTGGTGAGGTGACTGCCCCTGCACCTGGCACAGGCAGGATTGCTAATGGCCAGATCCTCCCCCAGGATGTGGGCTGCGGCGGCAAATGGGGATTAGATCCTTCAGCTGATGCCGGGACAGTGTCTGTCGGGGCTGAAAAAACAAATAGTTGTCCCCTCTGTCCTCCCTCCTCAAGTTCAGACCTTTTGAAAAATACGAGTAACCCAAGGCGTCTGCCCATCCATTAGACGTAAAAGTCTCCATCAGCCTTCATATTGCTGAGAACTGGGTGAGGGAAACGTGAAGTGGAGTAAGAGTTCCCCCTTCCCAGGCCTCTATCCCCATTGTTGGTGGGGGACGAGATTGAGGTCGCCTCCCCCAGGGAGGCACACAGACAACAGCCCCTTTTGCTTCTTGGGCCCAGCCTCTCCTCCCACCAGCATTGTCCTGGGGTGCCTTGACTCAGTTTCCTTTTTAGTGCATAATCTTGTCGAATCCGTTCACTCCCTCTGAGAGTGGGTAATATTTTCCCCCCGGTGTGACTCAGTTTTCACATCTGTAGAATGGACGAAGCGATGATGACACGCTTTCTGTCTTTGGGGCTGTCCGCTTGCCCCCTCACAGTTTAGTGGCGGACGCTTGGTTCACACAGTGCATCCTGTTCGTTGTCTTTCGCCTCACAAGACATGTGTTCAGTTGTCCGGTTAATACTCGTGAGGAGCCTGCAGGGTGCCAGACCTCACCTGGGTGTGAGGGACCCTGGTGGCGGCGGTGGCAGGGAAAGTGGCACTCGGTGAGCTCAGTCTCCCTCGGAAACAGATTCTAGAAAGATGCGCTCGTTATTTAAAAAGAGGAAGCGAGGCACATCAGGGAGCCGGTGACCGAAGTGGACAGAAGCTGCCCAGAGGAAGTGAGGTCAGCCCCGACACTCGCTAGAAACTCACAGCCAGACTCCTTACTCAGCTTTTCGGGCCCTGCCTGGCTGACCCCGTCCATTTCCCCAGCTTCAGCGTGCTCCCTTGGCTCTCCGGCCGCTGCTGCCTCTGGATGCACCACGCTTGTTCCTGCCGCATGGCCTTTGCTCGTCTTTTCCCCTCCACCGGGAGTGGTTCTCCCAGCCTCTCTGCACTGCAGTTCTTGTCTCCGTTCTCGCATCCTACTCTGACCACTCACCTAACACTCACTTGGCCCACCCCTCTCTGACACCCACTTGATGACTCAGTTGTTCTTTCTAAAAGCAAGATCTAAGCCGAACTACATTCCTCTCTGAATGCTTGAGGGGTGGGGTGGGGGGAATCCATCCGCTCCTTTGTCTTTTCCGGGTTCTAGCCACGCTCTTTGGCTGGTGCCCATCCCTCCAGCCTCGGCTTTCATGATCACATCCCCTCTGACTTTCACCAGCTTCCCTTTTTCCCATTAAGTACCACCCACTGGTCTGTGATTACATGAAGGAGTCCCAGGATGGCCCAAGACGGTTGGGCACTTAGTTGCTAACCAGTTTTAGTCCTCCCACAAGCACCCCGGAAGAAAGGTCTGGTTTCCTACTTCCAAAAAAAGATCGCTGAAAACAAACCCCCTTAGTGCCATCCAGCCAGTTCCGAAGCACAGCAACCTTATAGGGCAGAACTACCCCCCGGGGGTTTCTGAGACTAACGGAGTAGGAAACCTCATCTCTCTCCTGCAGAGTGGCTGGTACTTTCTAACTTCTGACCTTGTGGTTAGTGGCCCAGCACACCCTCCTAAAAAAAAAGCCTGTGGAGCGGTCCTCCAAGACACACGGGGCTGCGAAGATTCAGATGGAGCCCCCCGGGATGATCTCCCCATCTCAGCGTCCGGCCTCGCATCTGCAGAATCTTTTTGTCTACATGAAGTAGCATCTCCACAGATTCTGGGGGTTGGGGTTTTGGTGGGCTTTTCTTCAGCTACCTGACCACCCCCACCCCTCCACAGGATGAGATCGAGGAGCTTCGGGCGGAGATGCTGGAGATGCGGGATGTCTACATGGAGGAGGACGTGTACCAGCTGCAGGAGCTGCGGCAGCAGCTGGACCAGGCCAGCAAGACCTGCCGCATCCTGCAGTACCGGCTGCGCAAGGCTGAGCGCCGCAGCCTCCGCGCTGCCCAGACTGGCCAGGTGGATGGCGAGCTCATTCGCGGCCTGGAGCAGGATGTCAAGGTGAGCCAGCGAGGGGGTGACCCCGACCCTTGGAGATGTCCTCTAGTGAGCCACCAAGCCTGAGTGGGACCCCCACAATCCTGAGGCTCACATCCCGTATCCCCTTGTGAAGTTACAACATCTCTCTTGCTGTAGTCTTAGTCTCCTCACTGGTAATGTGGGGGGTCCCAGGGATACCCCAAAGAAATACCATAGCTATGATTCCTGTTGAACAGCAGTGGCATAACCAGCGGGCCACTAATGATTGCAGATACTCAATTGCAGGCACTGGACTGAGAGGGGAATGTGGGGATTGATGGCTGGGGACTGCTGGATTGAGCCTAGTGTGGGGCTAGTGGTGGATTTCAGTGAGGGTCACAGAGAAGTCTGACTTAGATGAGGAAGGGGTGGAAGGCAGGCTGGGCCCGAGGAGCAGGCTGGTTGCCGACTGGGCTGCCAGAGCCTCCGAGGAGAGCAGCTGCAGGGGCGGGTAGTTCTCCAGAGTCTGGGTGGAGGGAAGTGCCTCTTTTGTTGGGATTTGAAGTGGCCAATCAGAAGCAGCCTTGCTCCCTTCCCTCCCCGCCTCCTCTCCCGCCCTTGCAGCAGCTGGAGCTTGGAGCTCCTCCACAGCCCTGTCCCAGCCTGGGTTGGACACTGCTGATGCCATCCAGGGTGCTGGGGCTGCTCCAGGGCCTCCAGATACCTAACTGCCTTGGCATTGCTTAGGAGAACTTTCCGGCCCATGTGGGGCGAAGAGGTCTGGGGGCTGCCTAAGTGGATGTCTTTGCTGGCGCCCACATGCTTACTGCCCCTCAGGACTTCATGACCCCTTTGTCAAAAGGGGCCTGTAAACCATGCTCATCATTCAGGGCTCTTGCAGCTCCGATGATTTGCAGATGGGTTATTGGTGTGGGGCCATAAAACCCAATCTGGGGCTCAGGTGTTCCCTCAGTCTCTCTCATTCTGCGGGGCCCTCACAGCTTGCAGGACCTCCGAACCTTAGCAGGGACTTGAGCTGCCAGGAGGAGGGTAGGGCCAGAGCAGAGAATTGCTCTGCCACCTGCCTGCTGGGTGGCCTTGGGTAAGCTCCTTCATGTCTCAGCCTCCACTTCCCCCTGTGGGAATAGTGATATCACTCCTCCCTTACCTGTCCTGCTTGTGAGGGTCAGAGGAACAAGGTCCAGGTCTGGCCTGGAGTGCCCACCGAGCAAATGGGCAAGTGCTGGCTGTGAGACTGTGTTCCCTGTTGAGGAGATTTATAGGGTCATTGGAGGGCATGTGGTGGGTGCGATGGGCAGGCCGGCTCGATGGTACATCTCAAGGTGGATAAGAATCACCTCCGAGGGCTTGTTCACAATGCAGATCCCCAGGCCTCGGGCCACTCCTTGGTGACTGGCTCCTGGTCAGGTTCTGGGGATCTGGGATGTAAGTTATGGACACGAGGAAGACCTTGGCGAGATGGACTGACCCAGTGGCTGCAACCAGAGCCTCAGACGTCACATCAGTTATAGGGATGACGAAGGACTGCGCAGCATGTCCTTCTTCAGTACCCGAGGCCATGAGGAGTCGGATCAGAGTGGGCTCTGAGGCGCCTAGCATCAGCAGCAGCAACACAGTGCACCCTGGGAGGCCCAACCACCTTTCTAGAAACAAGTGTGGCCTTGGGTTTAAATCCTGTCTCATCTGTAACATGAGGTGGCCTCCCCCACCCTCCGGAAGTTCTGGGAGGATTCTACCACACAGCCCAGAATGTCATCCAGGGAGCACTCCTTCACACCCTCCCTGAGGACACGGTGCGACCCGATTGCCCTGACACCAGGCCCCAGGTCCCCTGAGCCTGGAGCCCTGCCCCACGGATCAGCCTGCTGAGGGAGGAGGCTCAGACAGCCGCCGCTGCTGCCTGCATTTGGCAGGAGTTACAGGGCCTCCGCGCTGTAAACAGTTACCTCATGGCTGAGCACATTTGTTTGTGCTTTGGGGATTTGCCCTGCTCTCCCGAAGCTGCAGCTGCTTCACCTCCCTTTCTCCCTCTCCCTCCGTCTCTCAGCCCGCCCTGCCCCTGCCCCCCCCCAGCTCGGGGATTGTGGAGATGGGCACAGGGGTACCGCGGGCTCCTGACTGAGTAATTCTACCCACGGACTCATACTTTCATCCGAGCTGCTCCTACTTGTGCCCGAAGAGCAGGGCCTTAGAGTTGAGCGCCTCCTTTCCAGTCTTGCTGCGTTAGCTTTCTAATGTGACCTTGAGCAAGTGACCTTTCTTTTTGAGCCACACAATGGGGACAAGAGTCAAAGGGCTTTCAGAGGGATGAAAAAAAGTCAAGGGGCTGGTTGGGGGATGGGGTGAGTGCTTGGGGATGGGGGTGGGGTAGGCTCGATTGAGAGGAGGGTGGTCCCAGGGCCACCATGGTTCAGAGATGCAGGGGACAGGCCCAGTTCTGCGAGGCACCTGCCTCCTAGTCAGGAAGTTCTAAGCTCCCATTGGCCTCCAGCAGGAACCCAGCGCTGTGGGAATTGGAGACTAAGGGCCCTTTTGTTCAAATTGGAATTATGTAAGCCTCCTGGGGCTGGGCTTTCTTCCTATAGTGGCCCCTGTGGGTGGGGAACAGATAGGAGAATGGGGAAGCAGGGAACCCACAGAGGCTTGGGAAGGCAGACAATCCAGGAGCCATTTGCCAACCCAAGATGATCCCGGGGTCTACATAGATCCAAGCTCCTTGGATTGTGGTAGGGATGAGGTGGGAGGTGGAGAGGAGCTGGCCCAGATGGGGACATAGTTAGGGGAGTAAGTCCTCGGTCAGGGACATGGCACTCCTGGAGAGTGGGTGTGTGGGCGGTTGTGGGGCACATTCCCAACCTGCCAGGGCGGGGTCAGCTCCCCAGATGATTCAGTCATTTTTAATGACTTTCTCCCTTTTCAATTACTGGGTTATTTTGTTTCTTCCAACAAGCATTTATCGGGCACTTACTGTGTGCTAGATGTTGTGTTTCTGCTGGGACACAGATGTGAGTGATCCCAGGCGTGGCCTTCGGCCTTCATTTCTGTACCTCACTAGGCCTGCCTCCAGTGCCTAAGCCGGGTGGGTAGGTGGGTGGGTGGATGGATGGTGTATTCATCAAAACAGAGTGGATGCGCACCAAAGGGGGGTGGGGGGACCTCTACCTCAATTTTGGAGACTGCAAACCTCCATCAGAGATTTTCACACCAAGCCCAAGAGTAGGGGTGGGGAAGGAGAGTTGGCTCAAGGCGAGCCAATCGATGCACACAGATGAAGCAGTGATCTTTAAAAAAAATTCTTATATTTTTTTCTCGTCGAGAATAGTGAAGTGGTCATCTTGACGATGTGTTAACAAGCGCTCGTATTTATTGTCCATTATGTTTTAGCCACAGGCCCAAATACTTCATGTTCATCAGGTTGCTTGGGAGGAAGCGTTACCAACCCCATTTTACTGGTGAGCAGACTAAGGCTTCGAATGGTTAAATAACTTGTTCTTGGTCACCGAGCCAGTGAGCGCTGGATCTGGGCTTGAGTCCAGTGTTCCCATCTGCAGAGCTCTTGTTCTGATTCTGAGGGAGGGGCAGCTAACCCCACTTTCTGGATGGGGAAAGGTCGGTGCCTCCAGAGGGTGGAGGGGCCAGTTTCTGGCTGTCTTAGGAGATGAGATCTCCAGGGGCAGGGCGAGAAAGTGGGTAGTGGAGGGGGAAGGAGGCTTAAGACAATGCCAGTTTCCTTGCTGGCCAATGTTATTCCTGGCCTGCCCTGCCCTCTGCCAAGGGGTCCATGCCCAGCTGGACTCAGGCCCAGGCAGAGGGCAGAGCGGGGAGGACTCCCTTCCCTTCCGGCGCGTGGGAGGCATCATAGTTGTTTCCAAGACTGGCAAACTTGATGTCCCGGCTGTCCTGCCCCCTGTGCACCTCCTGCTCCCAAAGCCCCTGCATTTAGGCCTTTCAGCCAGCCCCCTAGACGGCCTAGCCAAGCTTTGCCTATCATTGCTTTGTGTGAGCCTGCACAATTCACTTCTATTCTCAGCCTTGATTTCCTTGTCCACAAAATGGGACAGTGGACAGTGATGGGGGAAGATGAATGGGTCTGGCACAAAGTAGGTATTCAACTATCATTAATGCCCCAGCCAGTCCCTTCTTCCTCTCTTTAGTCGCAGATGTCTATGCTCCACTCTACTGAGGGAATAAATCTTGGTGTGATTCTTCCCAGGGTCTTCGTCATCCTCCATCCTGGAACCCTGGTGGTGTAGAGGGTCATACATTGGGCTACTAACTGCAAGGTCAGCGGTTTGAAGCCAGCCACTCAAGTGAGAAGGGGGAGGCTTTCTACTCCCATAAGAGTTATAGTCCAGTTAGCTAAGGCCACACAGAAAAAGCGCACCAGCTGTGTGATTCGAAGATGGCAATAACAAAATCCAAACATGATGAAGGAAAAAGTAATCAGAGTTAAAATTATGAACGCCCAATTTGTGGAAGACTGAGGAGGACAGGGGGAGCCCAAAACCCACCTACGGAGTATCTAGTCAGAGTAAGCCACTGGCAGATCCCCTCGAGCCACAGGCAAAAGTCTGGAGCAGCCTTCCTATCAGACATAGATCACTGTAATCCTGACTGCTGGATCAACTTGATGCTCGGTCAGTTGACCTCCCTCTAGACCCAACCTGAATTGCTTCTAGATGCAAGGATCTCTTGCTTTTCTTGTTCCATGACAAAAATTTCTTCCCTGGCTTTTAAAATATTGATGGTGGCCTTTTTCTTTCATAGATACAATGTTTATATTTTTATGTTTACATTATTACTGTTTTATCCTTACCACTTTATTTCATTCTTGTTTCTGTTTGTGAAGCACAGAAGGAGTGGATACATAGACATAATAACCGAGGCAAGGGTTTCTAGGGGGTATTGGGGTAGGGGCAGGGATGGGGAGGGTGAGGGGATTTCGGGAGTAAACAGTGAAGGAGGGGGATGGAGCAATTAAAGGGGATTTAATCATGGGGGGTGGATAAAAGAAAATATTCTAAGATTGATTGTGGTACTGATTGTACAATTCTTCTTGAGATGATTGGTTGAATGATACGATATGTGGATTATGTGCCAAGAAAACTGTAAAAAGGGGAAGGGGATAAGAGTCCCAGTCTCAGAACCCCCCTGGACAGTTCCACCCTGTCCTATCGGGAATGACCTCTATGGCACAGTGAGTTTGGTTTTTAGTTTTCTTCCTACTCAGAGCCACTGGGCAATACAGCCAGTTGGCAAACTTGGCTAATGACCAGAGGGTTGGGGGTTTGAGCCCACCCAAAGGCATCTGCCCCCTTCCAGACGTGGGATAGAAGCTGTGCCTGCCAAATGGGGCTCTCAGTGCTGCAGAGGCCCAGAACCGGGAACCGTGTTAGCGCCTTCCTTTAGGGACAGCTTGGCCACCTGCCCAGCCCTTGTCACTGGGGCATGTTCTACATCTCAGACAACTGGAAGCTGTCCCTGGGGTCGCATCATGACCGCCAGCGAGTCAGGCCCCGCTGGGTTTCAGCTTCTTATAACAGCCTCCACTCCTCACCAGGCACTCGGAGTGCCAGGCCCTGTGCCGAGCATTTGCCTGCAGTGGCTGATGGCATCCTCCTGTCTGACCCAGGAGGTTGGCCCTGTCATGATTGAGCCAATTCTGTCATTGAGGAGACTGGAGCACAGAATGGGGAAATGACTTGCCCAGGGTCACCCACTGGTCTCTGGCAGAGTGTGGGAGTCGGATGGCTCCAGGGATGTCCATCCTGCTCTGGGTTTCTGTTCCAGCTCACCCCATTCTCCTCTTTCAAATGACCTTCCGCTCCTGACACAGGCTCTTCTGAGGACCAGGCAAGACGGTGGCTGGGAGAGGCTTTTGGAAATGTTAATGGTCCCAGGCTAATGGGAAGGCATTCCGAAGAGTTAAGCGGAGCCTGCACGGGGCCTCGGCCCAGCACTGGGGGGTAGACGTTAGGGCACAGGGTGCCTAGGACAGGTGTCCTGGTTCTGCTGTTTGCTGGCTGTGTGACCCCGGGGCAAGTGACTTGTCTTCTCTCTGCCTCCACTTCCTCCTCTCCTGAGCTGCTGAGATGGGGTCTGAAGGGCTCCCTGCTGTCTCAGCTGCCTCCTCACACCTTTCTCACCACTCCTCGCCCAGGTCTCGAAGGACATCTCCGTGAGGCTGCACAAGGAGCTGGAGGTGGTGGAGAAGAAACGGGCCCGTCTGGAGGAGGAGAACGAGGAGCTTCGGCAGCGGCTCATTGAGACCGAGCTGGCTAAGCAGGTGCTGCAGACCGAGCTGGAGCGGCCTCGAGAGGTGAGGGCCGTCTTCTGTCTCTGCTCGTGGGAAACGGGCACGGGCATGCTCCTTGGCAGGCTTGTTTTCTCCTGGGCTGATTCCTCCAGCACACATTTCCAGAGCACTGATTGTGAGCGGCCGCTAAGGATGTGGCGGCAAACAGTTCCTGTCTTCAACGAGCTCCCAGGCCAGGGGTGGAGGCAGTCAGCCATCAGAGAAGGCCAACAGCTGGGAAGATTAACAGAGAAGATGCAGAAACGCCCAGCATGGGGGGGTCTGGCCCTCTGTGCCTTGGTTTCTGCACTTGTAAAGTAGGGCAATCGTGCCCTACGTCCTGGTGTGAGGATTAACTGGGCTCAGGTGCTTGGAGATCTTTTATAGGTTGCCGGGTATCGCAACTTGGTCTGAGGTTGGCGCTGGAGCTGGGTCTCAGACCAGTATCAGGGAGCATTGTCTCAGACCAGTGTCAGGGAGCATTAGGCATTCCCTGAATTTGACCCCCAGGTACCAGCAGCCTCGCTGTCTTTGCTTATGCCAGTTCTTCCACTTGGCATGCCTTCTCTTCTTCCTGCTGTGTGTCAGGTGTACGATGTGTTAGGCCCTATGTTCTTAACAGTTTTTTTCAAGTCCCAGTGATCGAGTGGTTGTACCCATTTAGTGACTCAGAAAACTGCCCCTGGGAGAGGAAAGGATGTCCTTTTCTCCCCACCCCACCCCCACCTCCCACCCCCCACCTTTTATTGTGATGTGGTCAAAAGTTTACAGAGCACAGTTCATAGGCATTTTGCTTTGTGATATTGATTGCGATTCTCACAGTCTCATTGACACCCTGCCCACTTCCTCCGGGTGTTTACCGTGCCAGCCCTCCTTCCTGCCTCCCTGCCTTCTGGGCTTTGCTCCTGGACAAACCCTGGGTCTTGGCACACTTGTGCTTCTCCCGCTGCCGTCCTCTTGCCTTGGTCCTTTGGGGGCTGAGCCTTCCTATTGTATATTACCTTTGCTTTCACCCGAGTTCCTCCCTGTCTGCTCCCCACTTCGTGACTTACTCTCCTTTCCCCTCCCACCCCTGCGAACCTCCAAAGAACATCTTTCTGTGGGGAAACCTCCCCTGGTCTCTACAGTAGTGGTCTCGTGCAGTAGTTGTGCAATGTCACCCAGCATCGGGCCCTCCAGGTTCATCCTGGTGAGACGGCGTTTCCCAGATTCGCCCCTATCTTTTAACATTCCGCGACATTTCCTTGTGTGTGTGAGTCATAGTCTGTTTACCTGTTCTTCCATCGATGGGCATGTGGGTGGTTTCCGCCTGTTCACTCTTGTGAGTAGCACCGTGAGGAGCGGGGGTGTGTATGTATCCATTTATTCGTGTTCTGGCTCTTAGTTCTCTAGGATGCGTTCCAAGTAGAGGGATTGTTGGGTCCATCCTATTTCCAGTGTTTTAAGGAAGCCCTATATTCACTAGCGATTAGATCACTTTATGGTCCGACCAGCAGCGTGGGAGGGTTCTGGTGTCTCCACAGCCTCACAGCATTTGTTGCTTTCTGTTGTTTTATAAAAAGCATTTTGTACTGCTCATGCCGGTGTCAGATGATAGCTCGTTGTTGTTTTGACTTGCTCTTCTCTAATGATCTTGGGTATTTGGGAAGGACATCTTAATTAAGAGATCTGGACATGCTCAGCAGGCTCCACGGGGTACCAGTTGGAAACCATCAGCTTAGATGCATGCTCAGGGCTGGAATCCATTCCATTCCAGGAGTCTGTGCCCCAGACAGCCCAGAGGGGACTTTCTTTCCAAGGTACAGCAGGCTTTGGCTATCTAACTGCTCACAGGGTAGCCTTGGATGAAACATTTTTGGGGGTGGGGGCCACATTCCTTGCCAGAAGCTCTGCCTGTCCCGCCCCCCAGAGGGCAGACACGCCAGTGTTCCAGAGCAGAGACCGAACAGAGACCACAGCCCTGAGGCTGGAGCAGTCCTTCGGTTGCCCTTCCTGGCTGAGTGCTACTGTGCTGTGCCAGTGGCTTGTCCATGTGGGGCAACCAGGCCTGGCCACTGCTGGCAGCTGGGGAGCCTGCCCTGCTCCAGGGCTCAGTCAGCATCACTGGCTCACGGAGAAGCCACCAGTTTCAGCCATCTCTTTGCCCGCACCTTGGGTCTGAGAAGTTTCAGAAGTGCCTCTGAGGTCAGGTTATCCCTTTTGTGTAGATGAGGAAGATGAGACCCGCAAAGGAACAGCTTGCCTGCGTTCACCTGGCTTCATCGGAAGCCATTTCCCCTTTCTGCATCTGGGTTCGGGGGAAAATAGGATTGAAAGGTAATGGGTGGAGGGGGAGCTCATGGAATTCTCTTTTTATCACACACTTTTTGAAGCGCGCGCGCATGTGTGTGTGTATGTGTGTGTGAAGGCAAGACAGATCCCCAGAGGAAGACCACTAAGCTGAAGTTCAAGTTAGAAATGGTAGGACTCATTGATGCTGTAGGGAAGTGGTGGTGGTTTTAGACTAAGAAGGTGTTTGGGGATGGTTAGTGAAGCTTTAAACCAGCGGTTCTCAACCTGTGGGTCTCAACCCCTTTGGGGGGTTGAACGACCCTTTCCCAGGGGTTGCCTGGTTCATAACAGTAGCAAAATGACAGTGATGAAGTAGCAACGAAAATAATGTTATGGTTGGCAGGGGGTCCCCGCCACATGAGGAACGGTGTGAAAGGGTCTGGGGTTCAGAAGGTGGGGACCCGCTGCTGCAGACAATGAAGGCGGCATGTCAAGAGCCCTCATGGTGCTGGGCGCACGGTAGTTGCTCAGCAAACCCTGGTGCACTTCTTTGAGAGTGATGCCGGCAAGGCAGGTCTAGCCCTCCCCAGTGAGCCCCTGGGTGTCTCCAGATCCTCTAAGAAGGCGTGGGCCCTGTGTTTGTTTGCTATTGTTTCCCCCCTCCTCCCTCTCTTCTCGACATGGTTTCCATGGAGACAGGGGTCCCTTAGCAATTCTTCTGCCAGAATTGCTCGCATCCCATCATGGAGGTCTGTCTTTGCCGGGCTGACAGGTTGCTGTGGCCATGCTGTCACCCGGCTGGGAATAGGAGCCCCTGGTCTGAGCTGCTGTGGTTGCCATGGAGATGGCTCCTAGCTAGAGAGAAAGGAGGGTGGCCATCCCTAGCCTCGTTCCACTGTGGCCCAGCTGGGCTGCAACTCAAGAACGTAACGCCAGCCTTCCTGGTCCAGTCCCCGCCTTCCCTCTTGTGTGTTGGGCAGAAAGCCTGGATGAGTGCTGATAGGGTCGCTCCTGGGTCCAAGTGCGATTCTGTGCCAGGCTCTGCACAGTTCATAGCACTGTCCACTGCAGTTTAACCCTTGAACTGGTTTCCCTGCATACTCAGTATTGATCTCTTTGGGAACATGTGAATTATACCTCAATTACAGAGTTCTCAATGTGAAACTATTTATTTCCATGGTTTTTAGCAGAGCTCCTCACCTCTTCGAACGAGTTCAGTCATTGTTAAGAAAGCAAAATCAGAAACAGACCCAACTTGTAAAAATGTGGGTGAAGCAGACTTGAAACGAGAAGGGTCAAGACCCAAGAATGGGGGGCTCAGAAGAGACTTAGGGGACCCTTTCCGGAGCCTGATGCGGGAGATTAGATTATTGCCAGCACTGTGGAGAGTCACACGCAGTCAAAGTGATGCCGTCGGCCACCATCCTTGAGCTGGGCATCGTTGTTTCTCCTTCCGCAGGTCAAGAGATTTGGTTGCGGTGTCACGCACAAACTGCCCTTATTTTTTTTTAAATCATTTTATTGGGGGCTCGTACAACACTTATCACAATCCATACATGCATCCATTGTGTCAAGCACATTTGGACATTTGTTGCCATCATCATTCTCAAAGCATTTGTTTTCCACTTGAGCCCTTGGTATCAGCTCCTCATTTTTCCCCTCCCTCCCCTGCCCCCTTCTGCCCTTATTTTCTAAGAGAGATATTCTGTTTCTAGCAGTGCTTCAACCTGGATTTTTTTTTCTCCTATTCTGGTTATTATTCCAGTTCACCCACATTTTACACGTGGGAATCTGTTTGACTTTGTCGGCCATGACTGAACCAGGAAGAAAGGGTTTGAAGCCCCCAGTGTAGGTATATTCACAGTGTTGTATAGCCATTACCACTATGTAATTCAAAATATTGTTATCTCCCTAAAGAGAAACCCCTTAGCAATCACTCTCCATTACCCCCGCCTGGTAACCTTGGTAACCACTAATCTACCTTCCATCTCTGTAGACTTGCCGGTTCTAGGCATTTCACACTATTAGAATCGTACACCATGTGGTCCTTTGCGATGGGCTTGGTGTCCTCAGGGTCAGGGTTTCAAGGTCGGTTCACCATGGTGTCTCCTGTGTGTCGGCACTGTATTTCTTTGTATGGCTGGATGGGGTTCCAAGGTATGGATTTTTTTTTAATCCATTCGTTAGCTGATGGACATTTTGGCTGTTCCTGCTGTTTGGCCATTGTGAACAATGTGGCTAAGGCTAGTCATAGGACTCCTGGTGTGTCATAGAGGGTTACGAATTGGTCTGCTGACCCCAAGTTCGGCAGTTCAAGCCCGCTGGTGGTGCTGAAGGAGGAAGATGAGATCATCTGCTCCTGGAAAGGTCAGTGACCTTGGAAACCCAAAGAGGCAGTGCTGCACTGTCCTGTAGGGTCACGGAGTCTGGATCGACTTCTTGGCAGTAGGGACAGTCATATATTGATTTTTGTGTGAACTTATGCTTTCCCATTCTTATTAGGTATGTTCCTAGGAGTGGAATTGCTGGGTACAGATGAGCCTTTTAAGGGTCACGTGGTTGGGAATTTAAATCCATACTCTCTGCCTCCCAAACCCACACTGACCATTATAGGGATGCCTCTGTTTCCTTGCTCCCGCTAGGAGGCTTCTTAAAACTCTATTGCATTTCAGAACCTTCTGGAGAGGCTGGATGCATGAAGGAGTACCTCTTCTGGTCCTGATTTCCTGGTGGGCACCCCAGGGTGTAGGGTC